CCCCCCCTCATAATCTCTCCCCTCACTCCCCACCCCAGCTGTAGCCTCCGACCGAATCTCCATCCAGTCCATGGGTCACATGACCCCTCAGCTGTCACCCCAGAACCTCATTTCCTGCGACACTCGTAACCAGGGGGGCTGTGCGGGGGGCCGCATCGACGGGGCCTGGTGGTACCTGCGCCGCAGGGGGTAAGGAGACCTTCTGCTGTGGCACGGTGTCACGGGAAAACACGTTGGGGGCTCCCTCCTCATGCTAACCCCCTGCCCCCCCCTGCCCCTCCTCCTCCCATCCCAGGATAGTGACACAGGAGTGCTACCCATTCTCACCGCCCCAGCACATCCCCGCGGAGGTCAGCCGATGCATGATGCACAGCCGATCGGTGGGGCGGGGCAAACGCCAGGCCACCGCCCACTGCCCCAACACGTACAGTTACCATAACGACATCTACCAGTCCACACCCCCATACCGGCTTGCCACCAGTGTAAGTCCTTTCGCCTTTTAATGGGCTTCTCATAGGATATTCATGACGCCTGCATCTCGTCCTGCACTCCACCCGCCAATGGACTCGCCGTCTAGCTTGTGTTCTCATAAAAAGTATTCTGGGTACTGCTGATTTATGTGGCTTATGGACTTCTCAGGGTTTATATAACGCACTGCATTCCCCTGCTTAACGGCCAGCACCAAGGCGTCTTAGCACTGAAACTGATATATACTGAGGAAAGTAAGAACTGTAAAATCCGTTGACGATTTTTCAGGAGACAACTGTGCAGACAGACTGATAAGCGTTTCTGATTTCTATATGCAGACTTAATTACATTCTGCAAATTAAGCCCACCTTCCTGGTAATCAGATCCTCTCTGTTTATATACTTTTCATTCACAAAGGAGAAGGAGATCATGAAGGAGATCATGGATAACGGACCAGTACAAGGTAACTATTTGATTACCTGTGTATGTCACATGTATGGAAGCTAATATTTAGCGCCAGTTAATGACAGGGGTTTCGGTTAGTCAAAGATTAGGGCCTTCCCGAACATCTCCAGTTCCTCTGATGGAATGTGACCCTTGACCTCAAGAGGTCACGATTCCCATGTCACCCTTGTGCCCCTTTAACCCCATCTCAAGAGATTCCCAGGAGTCGTGTGCGCCCCTCAGATACGGGGGGCTGGATCTCCATAAGCCTTCTATCCTGAGTATTACGCCTAGCAGCGTGATCTGGGGGACGTGATCCAGTCCCGCCTTCATATGTTTTGTAAATGAGTGAATTTTGGGATAGAAAATCTGACTTGAGAATTGTAATGTAGGTTTAACATTATGTGAATCATTTCTGACATTGCTAAGCTTTCTGCACAGTTCATGGTAGGTGAGGTTTGGAGCCGTGTGCCCGAGGGCCCGGTTGTAGGAGAACTATGATCAGTAATCATAAATCTAGCTGCTCTGCTTACGTAGGAGTCTCAGACAGTCACGTAAGGTTGATCGTGTGTCTCTCTCACTGTTGCCCTGCTCACAGCCATCATGGAGGTGCACGAGGACTTTTTTGTCTACAAGTCTGGAATCTACCAGCACAAAGATGTCAACTCCCACAAGCCAGCGCACTTCCGCAAGCATAACACGCACTCCGTCAGGATCACAGGGTACAAACCGAAATAATCCCACTATCTACTTGGGCCTGGTTGAGACTCCACTGCTTTGACTAACATAACTTTCAGCTTCAGTCAATGTTACAGCAGAGCTATTCAGATTTCATACAGTGTATATGTACTTTATTTGGGCATTACTGGGACTAGAACCTAGATCCTACTGGCCACCAGTCCTGACCCCATAGCTATGGTTGTGCAGTTGGTGCAGCACTAGTGATGGATGCTGCAGACTGGCATTCCAGGCTGGGGTCAGTTTCTCTTGTGGTCTGTGTTCTTTGTTCTCTTGATGCCCAAACCCACACACAAACAGGCACAGAAACACGCAAACTCACACATGTATACATGTAAATGAACCTTACCCCTCATTCCCCCTTATGCACAAACACTGCAATCAAACAGGCACACACACACACATAGGCACACAAACACAGACACACACACACACAGATCAAAGCGTGAGTCGGCCTGAGCAGCAGACAGTTGAAAATGCTCTTCACACACCTTTGGAGTGCCGACACAGTTAATGGCAACCACAAGAATGCCCGCAGACAGACTCCACACCTGGATATGGCCCCCACCCCTCCTCTATACATGTCATCCATCCCCCCCCCTACCAGCTTCCTTCTCACTCACCACCCCCACACCACACCATACCATCTCCACTGCCCAGCACAGGCAACCTATCCATGTTGATCCCGTCTCAGATGTTTCTGCCCTGCTGGCGAGAGGGTGTGGGTTGGGGCAGGCCGGGGCGGGGCAGGCCGGGGCGGGGCAGGCTGGGGTGGGGTGGGGCTGCTCAAGATTCCATGCCTGTAGTTGGGAAAAGCATGTGTCTGACTTACTATCTACAGTAAACACTGGGCTATTTTAAAATCTGGCAGTCTGGTTGCGCCTTGTGTAGCTGGGCGGCTTTTGTTCCATGAGCGGGATGCAGTAGATGGGCAGGGACATGGCGATGGCTGCCACTGTGCACTCTGCCTTCTGTGCAGGTATGAACCTGCCGCAGATAGGATCAGCCAGCAGGGCAGTTAGCAAGCAGCGCTAACCGCCTGCCACTTGCAGGTTCATGTTCCCTGCTGCCATTTTCTGTAACACCACTGCCCCTTATGGCATCAATGCAAAATGCAGGGCTTCATTTATTTTAACGCTAACCACAGTATTCTGTGTTTTTCTGCTATGGAGACAAGAGGAAAGTTTATTTTCGGCATTAACGTGGGGCACGGCCTGACTTGGGATGTTCTTTGGACATTCTCGCTGTTTCTGGACAGGATATAGACTGTAGGCAGAATGTAAGCCAAGCTGAGTTTGCACAGGCAGGCCTGCAGAGAATTACTGTCAGAAGGCCTATTACGAAATTTTGACTGATACTGATGGCTGTCATGGGACGTGTAGTTATAGAACGTTGACGTTTTTATGTGTTGTGTGACCAGTTCTCCAAGTGTATTTATGTGTGTCATAGTGCCTAAATATGCACTATATGTGACTAAAGGTGTGTGTCTGTATTTTTTGTTCATTCAAATAGACGTGTGTCCTATGAATTCTTCCTGTGTGTATGATACGTCTGTGTCTGTTGATTCTGTTCCCATGAGTGTGAATTGCGTGACTCCGGATGTCTGTCTATCTTGTCAATGTCTTTTGCGGGTTCATGTGTGTGAGAGCGATTGTATCCCAGCCTGGATCCGTGAATCCTGTGTTCCTCCACAATGTCCACGCTGACTCTGCTGTTCTTCCGCCTCTTTGGACTGCAAAGGCAAGGCCTGGGGGGGGCTGGCCGGGAGGGGGGGGGGGTTACATGTAATTCAGCAGCAGCCATGTTTGCACAGAGAAAATCCCTCCGCTCTGTGGCTAGTTAAGCTGGGGGCCTGGGGGAGTGGAGACAGTGTGTGGGAACTGGGGGAGTGGAGACAGTCTTCCCCATCGATGCTGTCCCTGACGTGATGCATCTGAAGGGACATGGCAGAGATCATGGGGCATTGGTGACCTATGCTCCGGGGTTCAAGGGTCTCTAGGTGTGAGACTGCAGCAGTGCACTCTCATGTAACCAGCTTGGCTAAAACCTCAGCCCTCACAGATCTCGCGGACATTTTTCTCCTCTTTGTTCTGTGGCCCATGTTGTTTGTACAACTATTGTCATTGCCGGCTCGTTGTTTACCCTGAAACCGTGTTTGGCGTGCAGGACGGTGGTGACGTGAGAGGGGTGGGTACCTGCACTTTGTGGTGAGGAGCGCTGCCCTGGCAGGTCAGGCTTATTACCCAGCATTCCATAACCGCACACGACATAAGTAGAGATACCATCCGGAAAGTGTGTTATCGCTCTAGGGTCTCTCAAAACAGGTTGGCAGAGCAGAGACCATTGTTCTGCTGGGCTGTGGCGCGCTGTGTGTTTATGGAACGAAGCCAGCGCACAGGGATACAACAAAAACACAGTCTGGATGCTCAGTGGCCACTGAGGTGACAGTAATGAGGCTACAATTAGAAAGCAGCCGTTTCAAAATACAGGTCATAAGGTCATAGGACCATGGGATGTGTCCGTAATGGAATAAGCAGCATGTCGTGGATGCTGGCCTGGTTACGCAGTGGAATCTGAGCTCGTGTATGTACTGACTCTCCCACCCTGTTTGCTTTTCAGATGGGGAGAGGAGACGGATTACAATGGGCACCCACAGAAGTACTGGGTAAGCGACAAGTGCAAAGCCTACTCCGACACACCGGAATGTTCCAGGCGCTTTCAGGATCTGCTTTAATTAGCGGCTGATTTACACTTCAGTCAGGGCTAGGCAAGGCGACTTAGTGGCTGAACACTGGCTTCGCAAACCACTTCAGAGCAGAGTGCTTTGAAAGAAACACACCCTACAGCCTTAAGAACCAGGTGTGTCTAGCTTCTGTTCTACACATAACTCACCTCCTGTCAAATAAAAAATAAAACTATATTTAAGAAATTCGTCAAAATATGCCACCTAAATCTGTTTCATAATGCATGCAGTTGTGTGTGACAAAATACAACATGACAATGAATGATCATTTTAATTGTTGTTGTAATATTTACTATGTCATGAGTCTTTTAGTATAACACGTACTCCAGGCTTATTGGTTACAAATCAAAATACCACCAGAATCCCACAATCCACTGGGGCCTAGATTAGACTCCTCCTTTTTGTTTAGCATGACTTTCTGTTTCAGTCATTGTTAGGGTAGGCAGTTATTATTAAGGTCTTTTTGGGTCTTGAACCTATATCCTACTGGCCACAAGTACTTATCCCTTGATCCCCTAGTGCAGTTTTTTTTAGTGTCCCCCTCATTTCCCCCAAACAGATTGCTGCCAACTCTTGGGGAAAGACCTGGGGTGAGAATGGCTTCTTCCGCATCGCACGTGGGAAGAACGAGTGCCAGATCGAGGCCTTTGTGATCGGCGTGTGGGGCCGTGTCACCATGGAGGACATGCACAACCACCACCATTAGCGCCAACAGTACCCCCTGCTGGTCCGACCATGGCGTTGCCATCGCCACGCTCAGTGCAACATTTATGTGCACATGCCTTACAGCTGCCCGTGCACAATCTGCTGTCAATCAACCTGACGACTTGAGGACTCACCAATAAACTGCTCAGGATTCACTCTGCCAAAGATCACACACTTTTACCTTGTGGACACTTTTTTTTAATTGTATTACAATCAAAGCAAAAACGGGCAACAAAACTCTTCCGACCTGATCCTCTTTAGTGGGAGTCCCTGTAGTCTCCCCTTTTTATTCTTGTTATATATATTTTTTTTCTTTTTTTGGGTTGTAGGCAGTATGTAGGCTGGAGCTGAAAAGCCAGCAAGCAAACACTGTAGGAAGCATCAGCAAGAACTAACCTGAACACTGTGTGTCAATAGTACTCTGTGCGAGTCGCCTAAGGCCTTAACATTTGCTCACTGTTTGTTCATAACTCATTCACTGGATTTCTCCCTGTCGCTCCATGACACCTACTGGCCAAAACATTAGTACGTTACATTCCAGCTGTGCAGATACAGATTTTGGAGGACTGTATCCTATCAGATGGCAAGCGTACGGATCTAAAATCCAATAGGCAGCCCTAACCCATATGCCGGCTCTCATTTCAGAATGTCCATCTCAGCAAAATACATGCAGACATTTGCATATTGGTCCATTAATGCGTCAACCAAGGAATTGTGGCACTAAACATTGCACCACTAAAACAACTTAATTCATAAGACACTCCTAATATAAATATATTGATATTTGATAGCATTTGTGCTTTAGAAATGTGTCTGTGGACAGAAGATAGATGATTATGCCTAAAATATATGTTTTCTATATTGGGGTTGCCAACATTAACTCGCATGTAACGTTGATCCAATTTTTAAAATTCTGACTGCTGTATTACACACAGACATGCACAGTTATCTGTACTGCACAATGAAATAAGAACATACAGAATATATCATTTCTAATGCAAGCATACAAATATTTATGAAATATAATATTATTTATATACTCCATGATCCTGCCCAGAGTAATCACCTGGAAGATGGATGGATGGATGGATGGATGGATGGATGGGATATTATTTTTGTCACCACTAGAAAAATGGACAAATTAACTAAAGCTGGTCCGAGATGAAAACCTGTTAGTGGCGCATAAACACCAGTATCAGTGCATTTAATCTGCCTTCCGGAAAGCTCCTCCTTTGTAACTCTAAAGGTGCTTTTACTGCAAAAACAAATTTGGACTTTTTTTTCTGATCTACGCCACCTTCTGCTTGAGTAGCACTACCTGTTAAGATGCCTTCATATCTAAGCCAGACCTTGTAGGTCTGTCTGCCTAGATGCCACACAAGAATAATCTCTGGGTTTGGCTTCCAGAGGTCGAAGTTTAAATGCTATTGTATTACAGCCTTAATATATTTATTTGTCTATATATCATGTTATTCCTAGTTATTTGTTATGGTTGTTTTCGTTATACTGTAGTGTTTTAAGGGCTCTGGAGTTTCCATCTGGCTGAGAATGCAGTCAGCATTCTCTTCTGTATCGCCCAGTGGCTTTGATTTTGTATGATGCTCAACTTGGAGGAGTGAAAAGCGGCAAAAACCAAAATATTCGGGGCTGAAGATGGTATCAGGAGAGCACTAGGCAGCACTTCACCAAACTTCCTCTCTGTGGCGCCCTCTTTGGGACAGGCTGAGCGCCAACGTGCAGGCCACAGACCCTGTAGACCCTGTACAAACACGAATGCGAATGTTTATATGCTAATGGGTAATGAGGTCAATTGCTAACATAAGATCAATGCCCAAAATCCCCCTTGGTGAGTGAGGGTACTCTGCGCCCACCAAAACGGGCAGCAGGGGGCAGCAGAGGGCAGGCCGTGAACGGCAGCTGGAGTCTCAGTGTCTTCTGGTTAGTGTAACGTTCTCGCAGAGTGCAGTGGGGGTGGGAGAGGCCAGCGAAGGGGGCATTGGAGGAGATGGGGGGGGGGGGGGGGTCAGAGCACTGGAGTGTCCAAAGGCATTTCATTAGGCGGGGGTGACTTTCTTACAGTTTCCTTCCTACTTTTGCCATTTTTTAATGAATGTTACAAAAGTGGGACTTTGGAATAAAGCAGTACAAAGGGGATCTCACTAACAACAATGGCCTCCCACGGGGGTTTGTGTTTTAAGCTCGGCGAGTGATTAGCGGCAGGCCCCAGCTATCTTCTGCAGGACATCCAGGACAGTTTACTGATAGATTTCTTATTTAAAATTATGCATGTGTGTCAACATTTTAAAATGTCTAAATGTACAACCAAAACATGGATAAAATCCAAGCCACATAAAAGAGGTTTGGTGGAATGAAACAAAGAGTCACTGTGTCCTCGTCTGCAGGCGGGACACTGAAGGAGTAACAGGCTGTGAAAGGAAGCACTTTGATTTAGCTTCCATTACCCTTGGTTTGTATCGCTCGTGCAGCATTGCATCATGGGTAGTCATTTGAGGGAGTTTGCTGGACATCGTTTGCGAACTGCTGTCCTTTCTAAGCCGCCGATGTCCATTTCAAGCGGTGGAGGTCCCATCATAGGCTGGCAGTGTGTGACTCAGCAGGTTAGCATGCTCTGCTTGTCTCAGAAGGTCGCTGGTTCAAATCCCAGCGTCAGCAGAATGATGTCATCGTAGGGGGCCCGAGTGAGGCCCTTAACCTTTTGGATAAAAGTATCTTCTAAATAAATAAAAAATGTCGGTCACAGGCTACTGCTCCTCCTCAGGATCTGAGTTCCAGCCCTGAAGCTTTAAGGCTGTAGGGAGGTGTGTAAATCTGAATGCCTTCATTGCCATCTGTGATGTCCCTTCCCTTGTCTCCTGTAAGGTCCCTGGTGAATGCCAGGTCACCACAGTGCCCCCCTGTGTCTCACCTCTGTCTCCATGCTCCATGGCTCAAGCTAAGCCCCCTCTTTGTCTGTGTTCCTTTTGATTCCTCTTTTCATAATAAAATCAGTTCCCTGTCCCACGCAGCCACATCTGTTTAAGGAACAACAAAAAGCAGTATGCTTAAAAAATACTGGAGGATTTTTAAGAATATAACAGTATATATGCATTCTTTATCACTGTGGTTGCTGCATATACAGGGTTACACACACACAGATTTGTAATTATATCTTTGTGGGGACTCTCCATTCATTTCTATGGGGGAAACTCTAATCCCAACATGACGACTTTAACCCCTACCCAGCCCTAACCTTAACCATAAATAACCAAACTAAATATGAGATTTCTAGCATTTTTAGTTTTTTGACTGCATTCACAGATCTTTGTGGGGTCCCCACAACTTCAAAATAGCAGGTCTTTATCACATTGTGGGGACAAACCCCGCTATGTAATAATCACAACAATGCATACACATACACACACACAGATACAGACCCAGCATATCTCTCCACCTGTAATCAGGAGTGTAAACGATAGCGAGAAATAAAGAATAAAGGAAAATAAGATACGCATGGACAGACAGGCAGACAGACAGTCAGAGATTATTCCAGGAGGGAACACTATGGAAGGAAGCCAGTACTATAGCTTACTATAAGCCCTAGTACATTGAGTATAGAGAGCCAGTCAGTTACGCAGCAAAAGTTGTAAGTTTATCACACCATTGTGCTGAGTAACAGACAGGCAGTTTTGTAGAAGACTAAATGATACTACTAATCCTACAGGAACTGCTGGTGTAAACTCAAGGCTTACGAGCTGAGTAACTAAATATTTACATTTTTCTCATGTCCTGGAGGCATAACTGGAGTGGAGAGCCAGCAGCTTGCGTGCTTCCCCCTCCCTGTGGGGCTCCGTGCAGAGGCAGAATGCCGCCTTTCTAAGTTTTGAAGTGTTTGAGCAAATAGTTTTCACGTCCTGCACCTGACAGGGTCTCTTGAGAGGGTCTCTTGAGATTTATTTTAAATGTAAAGTGCGTTATAAATTAAATCTATTATTATTATTATTATTCTTGTGCACGGGCCCCAGTGTCCTTTGTGTATTCCAGGTTATTTCCATTGCGTGAGAAAAAAAACAACGCAAAAACAATAGACAAAGGTGAAGAACACTTTTCCATAAACAACAATAAAGTACTTAAAAGGCAGAGGTTTTTTTTTTAAGGGGGTCACATGAGCAGTCTCAGTCATTCTCATTGGCTGATTAAAAAGGCGGTGTTGTGACGTACACTGACCTTACTTACCCGCAACTCCACAAGAGCTAGAAAATAGCACAGTCATCCTGCCCTGCAACTCCCAGCCACCGTTACCCATTTTCACCATGTGGTGCCGTGTGGGATGAAGACGTAGGACTTCAGACATTTCAACGGTTCACAATAGAATAAATTGTTCTAGAGGCTGCCGAGCTGAAAACGAGCAAGTACATGATTGACATTATAGACGTGCACAGAGCAGTGAAGCAGGGACATGCATATTTGGTTGTTCTGGGCTCCTGTTAGCTCCCGGAGGCCCCTCATACAAATGACCTCCTCAGGAACATCTCAAAGCATGTTCAGGTATGAATTGCTGCACCTTAACAGACTGTTTCCAAGGGTCACGCTACATAACTTAACGCCTTTTCTGATCAAATTTTCCAAGTGAATCCACCGTACGTTCACGCTACATAGCTTAACACCTTTGCCCTCCTATTATCAAGTGATTTAACAGGCATGAAAATGAGAAACTTCATCTGCACTGGGGAGACATTTGTCGAGATCCAGTTTCAAATTCTGCTGGCAGGTCACTGAGCCCACAGTGCATAACGCAGAACACCAAGGAGGGCCATGAGCTCTTCATGCCTGTGTTATGCACCAAGTATGCCCTATCGCTTCAGCGGGTTAGGATTTTGTGCCTGTGATTGGAAGGTCACTGGTTCAAATCCCAGGGTTGGCAGAGTAATTGCGTTGTTGGACCTTTGAGTGAGGCACTTAACTCTCTTCTGAAATTATTATAATAAATAAGCTATAATTATGTACTTAACCTAAACCTATACAACAATCTATTATAAGAAATATTGCTGCAAGGATTCTGCATATTTTGATACTAACTGATGCACATTTTAATATTAACAATTGATAATAAAGTTATCCAGCAATATTCAGAGCCCCTCGCCGCCATCCCGTGCTCACACGTCTCTTTGATATCTTTGTGGTGTGAAAAATAATGAACAGAAGAGACAACGAAGCACTTCTGATCCGTGGGTAACTGTCGCCACCTTATGGACAGAGATTGATTATATATCTGTAACAAACAGCGCCTGCGCTGGCACGTGAGGATTCTTTGAACACGTATGTGTTAAGGCAGTTCATACTTCACGCTTTCCGCGTGTGCTTTGCGTTCCATAGCCCAGCTGTCTTGCTCATAGTTGCCGGTGGTGAATTGACACAGTGCCATTATTAATAAATATGTACAAAAACACAAATTAAAGTTACATGGTGTGTATTGTTCCCCATAGTTTAATGCTTCAGGCACACTTGACATGTATGTATCGTTTAGGTTTATACTTATTAGTCAATTACTTCAGTGTTTTGTACTTTAAACGGACACAGTACCGTTATTACTAGTAACGGAAAACCAAAAAGTTTCCAGAGCTATTGATATTTGTTGTTTTGAGCTAAACAAATTGAAAGGACTAGGTTTACATACATGGTACCTACTGGATATACCTAGTCAAATATCTGGCACATGCGCAGTCGACGCGCACGGTTTCCGCTAGACATAAAAATCTGTGCTACACGCGCAGGGACCGCAGCCGTCCGCAGCGTTGGAAACAATGTGGTGGGCCAGTAGGTAGCATTGTCATTTCACACTTCTAGGGCTGGACGTTCGACTACTGTATATGCACTGCCTGAGCGGATTTTGCACATTGTACCATGTGTGTCGTCCCACAGCTCAAGGACATGCAGATAGGGCGTGATTCGACCCCCAAAGCTGCAAGGTGCAATACAAAGGTACTGCTGACCAAAAAAAAAACGTCACACCATTTCCCAAATTTCTTCCGCTGGTTTAAAAGAGTGTATCACATCCCCGCGCCGCTAGGTGGCGATGTATGATTTTTCTCAGTGGCGTTTTACCCCCGGTCCATTTTATAGTGTAGAGTGTAGACTTCCGTCTGCGTATTTGCTGAGGAAGAAAAGCGAGGGCGAGGAAGAGCGAAGCGCCAAGGTAATTTTATTTTTTAAATATAAAATATACTTCGAAATAGTTTCGCTGACTTTTTTTAAAGCATTCATGGAGCGTCATGCGCTAAGCACGTGTTAATAAAAATCTATTTTGAAGTTCATTAAATTAACAAGACTGATATTATGGGAGTGTAAGCGAGCGATGAGAAACGATTAGCTGGGTAGCTAGGAGGCCGCGACGGATGCGACGGAGGCCGGCAGTCACGCGCTGAACCCATCCGTAGGCCCATCAAACGGTCGAGCTGGAGGTGATGGAACGCAAATGATGTTTTGGTAGCGCCCCAGCTTAGCTTACCAGCATGTCTGTAGTGACTGTTAATATCGTTTGCTTCAAGTTTAGTGATTATTTTATATATATATAAAATCAGTTCACAGCGCCGACGCAATTTTACAATCAGTGCTTAAGTTTTTGAAACTTACGCTCCATTCACTTTGTTGTATCTTATGAGAGCTGAGCAGTGACATGATCATAGCGAAATTTGGGAGACTTGTTCGTGAACTTCAATCGGACATAATTATTCACAGGCGACGAGATTCGCTTTGACAGTGTGGTCGGTTTTCTGACCCCACGTCCGTGAATCTGGCGTTTAAATTGATGAGAGGTTGTAGGTTGAAAACCTTCTCTTTAAAACAAACCGAAAAACCAACAGGTCAAATAGCATATTTCTAAAGACAGTTTTGTGTTTTTCCTCTTTGCACTGCCTCGGCACCCCGCCCTCGTAAGTCTTAACCGACTAGTAGTATTGTGATGAAGTATGCATACCGATTACTACACATTAGGCGGGTCAAGTTAGGGGTGTACTGCTCATTGTGAAGTATTGAGCTCTGTGAGTGTGTTAAACGAGTCCTAATGAGTAGCAAGTGTCGGCTTGACGATAGAATAACAATGGGATGGGTGTATGTCTCAGGACGGCCATGGCTCGCGGGCAGCAGAAAATCCAGTCCCAGCAGAAGAATGCCAAGAAGGCAGCGGAGAAGAAGAAGCAGCAGGGCGCCGATCAGAAGACTGCAGCCAAGGCTGCGCTCGTCTACACCTGCCCTGTGTGCCGGGTCAGTGCTCTCTCTGTCTGTGCTTCACCTTCCCTGTGTGTGGGGGTCGGTCCTCTCTCTGTCTGTGCTTCACCTTCCCTGTGTGTGGGGGTCGGTCCTCTCTCTGTCTGTGCTTCACCTTCCCTATGTGTGGGGTTCGGTCCTCTTTCTGTCTGTGCTTCACCACCCCCGTGTGTGGGGGTCGGTCCTCTGGGCTTCACCTTCGCTGTGTGTGGGGTCAGTCCTCTGTCTGCCTCTGCCCCGTGTGCGAAGTTATGTGCCTGTGTTATCGTTTAGATTTTATTTAAATATATTTGATTTTCAATTGAAATCGTGTGGGTTTTGTTTTAAAGACATATTTCTATTTCATTTTTATAGATATTTTAGTTGAAGTAGTTTTGTTTCTAGGGATAGACTGAAAGTTGTAGAGCTATTGTACGTGTCTTGTCTTTACAGTCCAACACAAATCGCAGTGCACATTATGTACTTAAAATTGGCAAAACCCTGTTCCAGGTATTATTGGTCAGCTAACGGCAATATAATGGATTATGTTTCAGTGAATGATTTCCATGAAGGAGGAAAAATTAACAAATCATTACTGTAGCTAAATAATATTTAAATATTTGACTTGTTAGTTTTGGAAGCAATATTTATAGTTTTTTAGTTGCAGTTTTTATTTCATTTTTGTCATTTCATTTTGAGAAAATATTTTCCTATAGTTTTTCGCTAATGATAACTCTGGCCTGTATGTGTCTTTCACTTCTGTATGTTCGTATGCTGGCCGTCTTTTCCTGATAGACTCAGATGCCAGATCCCAAGACGTTCAAGCAGCACTTTGAGAGTAAGCACCCGAAGTCCCCCTTGCCCGCTGAGCTGGTGGATGTTCAGGCATGAGCATAGTGGCAGGTATCCAGGCCCGTCCTCCAACGATCATGTTTGTAATCGTACCGGACTGTTTCACAGGAGCATACGGTAAATGGTTTGTGTGTTTTTTTTTTCCCCCATTAATCACAGACTTGGATTTTGCGGCACATGGATAGAAGACCTGAATTTTGACAGACGAGACTGACTTGGACCTTGGGTGGTGGGGGGTGGGACACCGTCTGGGACATAAGCCTATTGGGAAGGCGGTGTTGGGATATTGACTTTTCCCATCTTTATTTTGTACTCATTTTAATTACCTGGCCAGCCACTGTTCTCTTCTGCACCCCTTGGATAGGTCCCACCCCTTGCCTCCCCCACACACCACATAAAATCTTACCTGACTTCACTTTTATTTCCCTGATCTGCTTCAGTGTAATTCTAGTGCAGACAGACAGGTGGCACAGTCACACTCTAAAGCACCTCAATAGGCAAAATGGTTGAAATATTACTATTTTTTAATCAAATGGCCTCTGACCTTGGGACTGTCCCCCCTCATGTATGTGGTTTTCTGAATACTACACTTTTTAGATTGGTGCTTTATAAGACCTCCTCTGAGTGTTAATCTCTGATAGTACAGGTCAGATCCACTCTGCGGTGTTGGTATAGCAGTTGAGGTGCAGATTGCTCAGAATCTTGTTGGTTTAAGTGCCACATGGGGAATTTCTGTTGTACCCTAGACAATGCACTTAACATTAAACACATGGTTGAATAAACAGGAACATGGCAAGTTTGGATAATGCTGTTTTGCTTGGCAAATAAACAGTGAATCAGTAGCATAATGAAAAGCCTGTTTGCTTGTTGCGTTTTGTAGTTTGGTACTGCTGTTGCTTACAAGCTACAGCTGAATTGTACACGTGCCTCCTGTTTATCAATCTCTCAGCTCTCTGCCAGTATGAGTAAGGTGCTGTTTGCTTTAAAATGTCCTTGTGTTAACGCTTCAGTACTCATGGGGAAATACTGGGTCTTTATCAGGAAATAATCTTCTTTTGTTGCCTAATCAGCCATGTTTAACTCACCCCAGTCTCTAAATCGTTGATTAGTGCTGGCAATCTTCTGATTTTGGTTGGAGGTCGTTGCACGTTTCTTTGGAAACAAAGCATTTACAAACGTCAGTGTTTTTCTTTTTTTTTTTTGATGACGTTTCCTACCGTTTAGTTTTTTTTTTTTTGATTGTAAGCATTTTTATTAAATGTTTGTCCACCATGATTATGTACTCTGGGAGTCTTCTTGAAGATACTGTTTGCTGTTCTGCTTGTTGACTGGACCAGCCAGGGGTGTCCCAAGATCCAAATAGGGGCTCCCTTCTCACAGGCCATGTTTTTTTTGTGGCAGCAAGAAGGCCAGTGATTATCTGGTTGGTACTTACAGAATGTCACCATGGCAACCATGATCTAGGATCAAGGCCCCGGAACCCGCAGAATATCGATGTTGACTTCTATGATTTTCTTGATGGTTTTAAGGTCACCTGCCCAGTGCTCCCAGAGGTACCACTGGGACTAGTTAAGCACCTTGGACACCAAGAAACCCTGTACGGCATTTGTAGACTAAAAGTTTAAAAGTTTTTAAAAAGCACAATGCTGATACAGCACACAGGTCTGAAGGCCTCTTCTCAGGTTTATTTTGGACACTGATGGAAGGTAAACTGCAATTAAAACACAATGCTGCTGCTTCTAGGGCCACCATCCTAGAGTGTGGCTTACAGGGATAGCGAGTAAATCCCAGATGACATTTAGAGCAGCGTTTCTCATCTCAGTCCTTGGGGAACCACAGACAGTCCCTGTTTTTGCTTCCTGCCAGACAGCCCACGTTTGTGCTCAGCTCCTGGTCCGAAACATGGACTGTCTGTGAGTCCCCGAGGACTGGATCAGGAAACACTGATTTCCTTCGTTTGTCGGCCTGAGAAGTGGGATTTGCTCACCTAGCAGCACATCATCTCCCCTGAGCTGCTCAGAAATTGGATGCTTCAGAGACGGGGCTACACGAAGGCAAGGGTGGCAATTAAATCTGCCATACTACCCCTGGCAAGATTGCAAGAAAAAGACACAAGACCTCTTAATGTGTATATACTTGGTGTTTAGATTTTTTTAATTATTGTACATAAGTTTATATAGATTAACATTTTGTTATGGTATAGTGACATCAGCTTAGCAAACTATACTTAAGTGCCATTTCCCTTAAACCTTCACAGTGAACACTCAGGGCTACTTCAAGGGATGTGTAGTTCAGAACCACACCTGCTGTTCGTGAGGACAGCTAATCTGTATTTTGAAAATATCACCGCTGCACTAAGAGCTTTCAAGAATACTGCATTTTTAATATCCCTGTAATTTTCCAGTTAGGCTATAACGGTAATAAAACATTCGGAAAAGCATAGTGTCTAATTTGTTCTGTCCCTCATGCAAGCCTACCTTGTTACATAATAACCAAAAGGATGAACTGCCAGAGGTTACACATGCATGGCATATCCTTCAACCGTAACAGGCCCCTCCTTCCATTCACTGCCGTCGGCCAATGCCGTGGCTGTGAGCCCATGGGGGGGGGGCGGACACAAGAGCTTCATCTGCCTTGTGATTGGATGAGCAGTGTTACAGGCAGCCGCAGGTCTTGACCACCATGTTGCGGTGTTTCTTGAGGATGACGTTGTTGTTGTCGTCGTAGAAGAGGACGGAGATGGAGCTGAGCTTGGTGGGGGCACAACAGGCTTTGGGCACCTCGTCTGGCTTCAGCAGGTGGACCTGAGGAAAGTCACGGGGTCACACTCTGTCCGTTATTCAGCCCCACCCTTGGGCATAAGCCTGATTACAGATCTGCTCTGCCCAATGACCCAGTGCAGTGATGGGGACACAGTGGCCAACAGGTTGGCCCACCCTGTGGTCAGTGTGGATCCCAATGACCCAGTGCAGTGATGGGGACACAGTGGCCAACAGGTTGGCCCACCCTGTGGTCAGTGTGGATCCCAATGACCGAGTGCAGTGATGGGGATACTGAGCTGTGAAAATGCCGCTGTCCTTCGGATGATACATAAAACCAAGATCCTGACTGTCTGCAGTCATAAAAGATCCCTGGGCATCCTTTGAAAGAGTAGGGGTGATACCCCGATGCCCAGGCCAAAACTGCCTATGGCCTCCTGATCATCTCATACATCTCACTGGTGAATTCTCTCCTGCCCCTTCACCACCTTAGCTACTGTGTGGTGAGCGTACTGGTGCAGAACGGCTGCTGTCGCATCATCCAGGTGGGGGCTATAAAGTGCTTTGGGTGTCTAAATGTAACTATCATTCATGCGGTCCTCACCACCAGCTGTGTCATGGTGGATTTCTTTGCTGTCATGCCAGATTACAGAACGTGAAGTGCAGGCCTCTTTAATGGTTTGTGTACTAAAATAGCCTCAGCAGCCAGACATCATAAATCCAGAATCCAGCAGGCTTCTTCCACATGCTGCCCTCTGCTGGAATCTTGATGAACGTCTCTATAGCGGCATGTTATGATGCTGACCCAGAGGGGGCACCGTTTTACGTATTTAAATAGCAAGGGTTCACAGGAATGCAGTGCCCAAGGAACTCGGAATCTGGCTGAGGGAGAGGCCCTGTTTTCGCTTGCGGTCACAGAACCACTTGAAACCTGCCTTCAGACAAAGAGGTTTGTAAAAAATAGAAAGTTTAAGTAAAAGCAGACATTTTGGACATGAAAATGTGTTATGCTGTGGTGTGATGACTACCTCCCTGCGGCCACTCGCAGTCACAGGCCATAGCGCGTCGTATTCCTGTGGAAACTTCTAGACATTGACTGGCACACTGTAGCATGGCTTCACTGGCCAGTTTCTCTTTCCCAGGTTCCCAGTTTAAATGTCATTGAGCTACTGCACACTTAAACTGTGAAATAAGTCATTAGTGATGTTGGAGGAAGTTACTCTTGAATCACTTTACGTATAATACCGTTACTATCATCACTCTACTGTACCCGTCCATCTTCCAACTGCTTATCAAATGCAAGGTCACCCTGGGCCCCCTTTTTGGGGCCCCAAACAAAATTCAATCAACCTAGTTGTCACATGCCATCTTCCTTCTCATTCTGACAGGCTGATCAGACAGGGGGCCCCCTGGTGGCCACTGGGCCCTAAGCAGTTCACCTATTCCTTTGGATGGCCGTGAGCACGGGGTTCTGAGCACATACCACCAGCTGGATCATGGCGTGGTTGGTGGCATTCATGCAGGAGCCCAGTGGGTACAGACATTCCCCATCGCAGTAGAAGGCAGAATATCCCCGAGGCGCTAAGACCCAGTCCTGGCAAAGAGACACAAGCACATTTTCAGCTCAATACCCGAGAGCTGCATTTAAATTGGCTTAGAACTGCAGTGATCAAAAGTCACAGGCAGGTGTGAAGACAGGCCTCGGGGTGGTAGACAGTAGGTGACAGGTTCAGGTTACTGCTTGGGCGCCAGCACTGACTGTCTGTGCCTGCAGGGGGCGTCTCACCTTCCAGCCCAAGTCGCTAAAGCTGACATAGAGCTCGTGCCGCTGGCATGGCTGACGGCCGCTGGTCAGCTGGCTGTTGTCTAAGAGAAGAAGAGAGAAAGCAGATGGGAAGATGAGGGCAGCATAAAAAAGGGATGAGAAAACATGTATTATAACGGTATTGTACTTAAAGTGATTCAAGAGTAACTTCCTGCAACATCACTAATGACTTATTTCATCGAGATGACAAGGAAGGAGGGAGGGAGAAAGAATGGAGAGAAACACCACAGAACCCATGGTGAGCGTAGATAAAATATGAAAAGATATAGTACAACACATCATGTTTCATTCATTATTTTTGCTGCTGTTATTAGTAACTTAGCAACCAGGAAGGTGGTCGTAAGCACGTGCAATTGGTGTAAAATCAGAAATTTGAATAATCTTCCCAAAACAGTTGATTAGGTTGGAAAAACTGTTAATATTGTTGTTTGTAACTACTGTTCTTCATAAAGCTGTTTTTGGCATGTGAGTCATTGCTAAAATGTTCAACTTTGATTTGGTGCAAATTCTAATTTCACACGCACGCACTCGTGTGCATGCACACATGTTCCAGCACACACACAAGCATACAGAAGTGATGCCAGACCAGACGGAGACTCACCGAAAATGCCGGGACGGTTGGGGTGCGGTAGGTCGTACTTGGGCTTCCTCTTACGGGCCTGGTTGTTGTTGCCGTTGTGCCGGAGCGCACGGGGGGGGCGGCACGGGGCCTGGCTGGCCCGGAAGAACGTCACCATGAAGGGCTGCTTGGAGCGTGGACCACGGCGACCCACCAGCCCCACCCATGCTGCGGAGAGCGAGCGGTCTGGAGAACGTGGGGTGGGGTGGGGTGGGGTGTGGGGGTTCATATCACGTTCATCAGCTCTGCATTTCAGTGCTTTCCATGTTCTGTTATTCCAATATGACATCATAAACTAGTACACACTGTGCTGTACATTTGCACTACATCTGGGGGGCCACATCTGCATCCTCACACACCCGCCCCACACTTCTTGTCGCCTGTAATCGGTCATATGGATTAATTTCCTCATGGTGTATGTGCTATAGCACTCGAACTCCCAGAATTCTATAACTACTAGAATTGCCGTAAGCGGTCATTTTAACCGCTCATTTATTATTTGTATATAACGTTAATAATCAATAAATCATTAATTAATTTTCATTTTTCGAATAGGTAATAAAAATAATAACAAAGCATCAGGACATGAAATTCACCAATGAATGTAAACATTTATTTGATTGACAACCGTCAAACCGCTGTTATCAATTTGCAAATTTGAATTACAAAATGTAAAAAAAAAAGATTTATTAAATGCAATATTTGTTTTATTTAGAAAAAATATCACGTTATCACGTAGTTCTAGTGATAGAGGGTCCCCTGGCTAACTCTAATGTCTGCAGTTATCTACCCTGGGCTCAATACCTCAAAATAAACTATGAAAAACAGTTTGTTAGTTAGTTAATTAGTTAGATATGTTAGTTAGATATTTCACTGATTTATCAGACACTTTTAGCCAATTGAAGATGATGTCTGGAGCAACTAGGGGTTAAGGGCCATGCTCAGGGACCCAAATTTGAAATCAGTGTTAACACTGGGATTTGAACTGATGACCTTCTGACAACCTTTGGCATCCTAACTTACTAAGCTACACATTGCCCCCAACTGCAGAATAAATTCAGTTTAAACAGCTGTCATTAACTGAGTAGAAATACAGCAGTTAGAGGCAGACTAATCCAAACTAACCAGTGGCTGCTAAAGACTAAAAGTCACGGCTCACCCTCCTCCGTCTCCACGTACAGCCGCAGGCCAAGGTTGCTGCGTGGGTGCAGGAGCCAACGGTTGCTGGCAGAGGTGACGTCAAAAGCCAACCAGCCCTCCTGGCCAGCCGGCACTGACTGCAGGTCCAGCAGTACTAACTCGGGCTCTCTGGGGGGACAGAGGCTCAGGCAATGGGTACATATACAGAGAAAAGTGGATAAAATGTGGGGGAAATGAGGGAAAAACTGATGACCGGGAATGAGCAGGGTTACAGACAGGTGATCAGCAAGGAATGAGCAGGGTTACAGACAGGTGATCAGCAAGGAATGAGCAAAGTTACAGACAGGTGATCAGCGAAGGAATGAGCAGAGTTACAGACAGGTGATCAGCAGGGAATGAGCAGGGTTACAGACAGGTAATCAGCAAGGAATGAGCAGGGTTACAGACAGGTGATCAGCGAAGGAATGAGCAGAGTTACAGACAGGTGATGAGCAGGGTTAAAGACAGGTGATCAGCAGGGAAAGAGCAGGGTTACAGACAGGTGATCAGCAGGGAAAGAGCAGGGTTACAGACAGGTGATCAGCAGGGAAAGAGCAGGGTTACAGACAGGCGATCTCTAGGGAATG